TATAAATACATGATACACAAAGGTTTTGAGTTTCGTAACGAATGCGAATTACGTAACATTTCTATAAAATAATGGTTCCTTTTACACATCACTGATCGATTTCATGATTTCTTGCAGATGTAAAATAGCCCATCAGCGTAATTTTAAAATTTTACGGAATTATCGAAGAGGTCATGGTTCTTAAAAAAACGGAGTCACGTAGACTGAACCAGTATGTGTCAGAAATTCCCACGGCTTCGCGTTTTCATGGTGGATTGCAAAATCGTTTTTTCTTCAGATAAATATTGTCTAGTATGAGCTTCACTAGGTGGTATCGGCGTTTAGTTACAGCTTAACATATATTATACTTATACTTTACAATGATTTACCAGGTAAATACAAGGAAATGTCTTCTGCCAATTTCCGTAAACAAATAAAACAATTTGTATTTACCCTGGTATCTAAATATTATATGTATGGGTGTATATATGTACTGTGTGCGCCATCTATTACTTTTTTAAGTTTATGTGTTACCATGTGAGTCATAAGTCATGTGGTATGCATAAATGAACTGTCAAAGGTATGCCATTTATAGTCATGGATTCGTTTACAACACAACAACGCATTTTGTTTATCCAAACTTATTACGAAAACGGTCCAAATATAAAAAATGCTTTTCGCACTAGTTTTGGTCGACATGGACGCCCTACAGAGCCTGGAATTCATTGGATTGTTAATCGTTTTGAGGAAACTGGTTCAGTTGAAGGTCTTATACCATACCAACATGCTCGTCCAGCTCGTACTCGTCAAAACATAGACGCAGTGAGTGAAAGTGTGCAAGAAAATCCAACCACCTCGACTAGGCACCGTTCGCAACAATTGGGAATTAGTGACACCACTTTACGCCGGATTTTACACATTGATTTACACCTCCATCCATACAAAATCCAACTAACACAAGAATTGAAGCCGGCAGACCATCAACAGCGGCCTGTTTTTGTTAATTGGATGCTGGAAAGAGAAGACGGATTTTCGGCCAAAGTGCTCTTTTCTGATGAGGCTCATTTTCACCTCAATGGGTACGTAAATAAGCAAAATTGCAGATTCTGGGGGGCTGAAAAGTGACTGTTTGGTGCGGATTATGGGCTGGAGGCATTGTTGGACCATTCTTCTTTGAAGATGCCGAAGAAAACGCCATTACCGTCAACGAAGAACGTTATCGCGGCATGTTAACAGACTTTTTGTGGCCACTATTGGATCGTATTGGTGCCGACGATCTTTGGTTTCATCAAGACGGAGCAACGGCTCACACATCTCGCCAAACAATCGCCTTATTGCACACGAAATTTCAAGACCGCATAATTTCACGAAATTCAGATGTCAGTTGGCCCCCGAGATCATGCGATATAACACCTCTTGACTATTTTCTTTGGTGATTTTTGAAAGGAAAAGTATATGCGAATGGTCCCCGGACAATTCAAGACCTAAAGCGCAATATTCGGACTGAAAGTACGGCCATAGACCCGATTATTCTGGGAAAAGTCATTGAAAATTTTTATATTCGGATGTTGGCCTGTAAACGAAGCCGCGATGGTCAAATATCACTGATGTTATTTTTCATACATAAACGGCATAAACCAACCTTAATTTATCAATAAAAAAAATCGATTATACCTCGTAAAATGCGTGTTGATTTTTCAAATAGAAAAAAAAGTAATAGATGACGCACCCTGTATATGTGGGTATGTATATGTATGTATGTATGTATATATACAGGGTGACTTTGAAGTTGAGTCATTAATTTTCAGATAATGATTGTAGAAGGAAGACAAACCAAAATATGTGTGTAAAAATAAAAAAAAAATTAAAAAAAAAATGTTTACCTTGTTTTATAAAGTATCCTCCCGACAAGTATTTCAGTGCGGACCTGTATTTGATCGTGAGGTCCCCTGTGAGGTCTTAAGTCACCTGATTCACGAGCCCATTGTACTACATTAACAAAGGCACGAGGGGTTGGTTGCACTCGATTGGGAAACCGATCCGCAAAAATATGTGCCATTTTTTATTTCGTTTGAGCCACGCAACAGACACTATTCACACGCCTTACCGACTGACACTGACTGTATGTATAACTGAACTGAATAAAATAATTGTAAAAACATCGTTCCAAATTCTTTCGCTTTTTTGTTTCCGATGCGATGAACCGATAAGGCGAATTATATCCGTTGTTGCCAAACACGAGCACATGATATTATTATTGAGACAGGGCGGTACTCAAACTTCCAAAGGGCTATAACTTTGTTACTTTAATTTTACCAGAAAAATGGTAAAGGAAAAAACATTTCTTTTGATCAGATCTACTCACTGTTAAAATAAATGACTCAACTTCGAAGTCACCCTGTATATGTGTAGGTATATATGTATATGTATGTATGTGTATTTATATTTGGACATCCATGTATACGTACTGTATATACTCGTAGTTGTGTATATTAGTTTATAGTATAGTTTAGTTATAACTAAAATTTTTTTATGACATATTAGGCAACGCACATTACATCGTGCTCTAAATGTACTGACAAAGATAGTTAAGTGTAAGACTAGCCTAGGCTAAATATCGCTATCTTTGTCCACATGTACAACAAATAAAGGCGTTATTATTATTATTATTATTATTGCAGAAATACCGAACATTTTTATAGGATGTGGATCAAATTTGACTGGCGTGTATTTGTTACAATAAGGTCGATTGATTTGAATTGAAGATTAATCTACGTCTGAGGTGACATGTAGTCGGTCGTGTTAAAATGACGCTTGTTCCATATTACTCCAAGAATACTTTTCCGCCAAATAGAAAACCCTGCCCTAAAAACATTTCTTTTTCATTCTTTCCATACATAATGGAACTAATATAAAATTCACAGCCATGCCTTGGAAGTAAACAGAACTGGATATTGCCTCCTTTGCTTGGAAGAATATGAGTGTCTGTGAGAATTAAAAAAAACGAGCACAAGGAAACAAGCTAAAGAAGCGGTTCAGTGACTTGAGATTGACCTAAAAAAGATGGAAGAGGTCTTTTCATTTTGATCAGCGTAAAAAGCTTTTTTTATATGTAAATGGACCGCACTGCCATATGCTTAGTAGGTGGTTTATATGACTAGTGTCCTGTTTAGGTCTATGTGCATTTTTTCATAAATTCCTTCCTTGTGTTAATAATAAAACTTACCTGCGATGGGTTTTTCCTTACGAAACTAATTAGCAAATTTGTGTGAAAAGCTGATACTAGGCTACGAAAAAAAATCACGTATATTTTTTTAACGCTTTTTTAATTTGTCCTAGTATTATCGCCCGTGTATAAGTAGATCATCTAATGCTCATCGAAACAGCGAAAAAAGCTCAGATTTCAAGAAAAGTGTGAATACCTATAAATATGTGATATAAATACATTCCATGGAGTGTTCAACAGAAATCTTGAAATCCGGCTGGACCTTAAAAATGTCGTTTTTAGCATGATTTTGTGTACATTTTTGGGATGTGTCTCACCCCGCCTGGGAAAATTTGCTGTTCAAAAAGTTGGGGGCAGGTACACTTTCACAAAAAGTTATCTCTTGCCGATAAACGATCCCCCGTGAGAAAAATCCTGGTCAATTCTGATAACTAAAACATAGTTGGTATATTTTACATAATAAACTACTCGAATATCGAACTGTACTTTCTACCCCCAAGACGTTAACAAGAGGAATTGGATGCCCAAAGCATGAATTAAAGTAAGTAAAATGGGATTAAAAAAGTCGTGAGACAATAGTGGGGAGTAGCGAGTTTATACATACAAAATTGAGTTAATTTTCTGACAAATTGAACATCCTAATGCCCAATTTAAACTGACATTATAAATAAGAAGGTGTGAAAAAACGACAATAACTCTTGTGGAGAACCCTGTATGTGAATAATTCAATTTTTGTAAAAAATGTTTTTTTGTCGATATTGGGAAAGTGGGGGCCCCCTGGGTACGTCCTCAAGACACGGCACGTCTTTTTAAGTTAGTTAATATCTTTAGCATTATTTTTGTCTACCAATGTTTTTGATAAAAAAATTGTTTTTAAACTCAACAATTCTTGTTTTTACTTCAAAAGTTCTTAAATATTCATATCTTCAATAAAAGCAAATCAAGACATGCTGGTAAACAAACAATGCTGTATTTTAAATTCACATTATTTTGAAAACTAATACAACTATTTGATCAGGCAAAAAAAAGATAAATCTGGCAGAAATAGTAATCCTTGGTCATGCGCGGATTTTTGAAAACATTCTCATAAAAAACCGGCTTCAAATCATTCAAAATAACTGCGTTCGCTTTATTTTTGGTCTGCGAAGATATGATCACATTAGTGAAAAATATAAAGGATTAAATTGGCTCAGGTTGGGTAGTCTAGTTAAATATAAAAGTACATAGTTTTAGTTCATAAAATTCTCATAACATCGAAACCTGAATACCTGAGAGTAAATTACGTTTCAACTGTGAAGTGCATGTCAGAAATAGTTATATCAGAATCGCCCCATACCATTCTGCTTTATTCCAACGTGGTTTTTCATATAATACAGCATTATTCTATAGTCACTTGGAAAAAAGATTAAAAGCAATGTCATTGCCGAGTTTCCGCGAGCAAGTCAAAAGCAGGCTGCTCGCCATAGGCTAAGACTGTGCTGTGACGTGATGGAATGTGATGTTTATGCTCACATATTATGTGTTCTTTTTTATATTGTTAATTTTTTTTTGTATTGAACATCCAATGTAACCGACATAAGCAGTTAAGTGTAAGAGTAGCCTTGGCTAAACTTCGCTGCTTATGTCTCTCCTGGTTCTTTGTGTTTAAATAAAGACATTATTATTATAATGCGCCTTAAAATAATAATAAATATACTTTTTTATCCTGCAAAAATTATTTTAGTATTAGATTATTTTTAGAAGCCCAAGTTTTTTAATTCTGTGTATAGGAAACATCAAAATAATATATGACTATGAAGGGCAAAATTTCCGTTTTCATGAAAAAATCCTGAAACGTCTTAAAGTCGAATTTCGGCTAGTAAATTAGCTGGGTGTGGTCCCCCTGCTAACCTGGCACCAGATTAACCTCGGACTCGGATTGTACCCAAGAATCGAGTTTTAACAAGGATCATGCAGTGGAAAATTATCAGAGCCTGTAGCCATTTCCATTGGTCTGTCTGCCTATCTGACGCATGTTCGGTAAATCTCTGTCTCAATGTATAAGTCTGTAAGTACCACCAAAATCCCGATAAAATGTTTAAACAAAGATCACCACCACTCCAATGATCATTCATTTTAGCAAATAAACAAGTAACTACAAAATGCTTCTAATCTTTCTATTTATTTTTGCACTTATTTCCAGACAATCGGTAAACAAACCTCGATTTTCGTATTTTTCATTATTTTATAGCATATAGGAGCTAATACATCAAAAAACTTAAAAGACATGCAGCCACTAGACATTCTGTTGTAGCCTCAAAAAATATTGTGCCTAATCCTTATTTTTTTCCAGAGTCATAAAGACAAAACAGAAGACACACACCCTATATTTTGAATATTATAGATTATATGTATTATGTTAAAATTATCATATACATATTTTTCAAAATTTTGTAACATCCTCTGTATTCCTAACATTAATGATAAAGTTATGTCCTGATATGTGTAACAAAAGAAAAGAATGTCATTTCCACTTGTTGATGTAGGTAGTTAAAAAAATGGCAAATTACAAATGTTGTTAACCAGCTGAAGAGAGAGCTACTACTACTATTTAGGATGAATCATGGACCTATTGTAGGGAGTATCAGGATGTGATTCAGACACCAGATTTATTTTTAGGCGAGACTCTCAATTTTTAGCAAAAAAGTATACAAGACATTGAAGTATACCCTCCTCTTAGATAAAAATAGATTCTAATGTTTAGTTCTACCATAAAACCTCTTTAATTTCTGTAAAAGATTTCTTAAAATAAACGCCAAGAAACAGATGTTAAAATGTTAATTTGATAAACAGTTAAGTATGTATCTAGATAGTACGTATCACCCTGTAAGAATAAAAACAAAAGCAGATTTGGTTTATAATTTATAATAAATAAGACAAGTGCAAACAAATCATCATATAAAGTTCAAAGAATTCACACCATATTGATGTTCACCTTTATTTGCAAAGCCCAGTATCATCTGTGTGGGAGGAATATTAAAAATTTCAAGTAATTTGTAGGTGGAACATCAAAGTTGTTTTTGAAAACACAAGGGTAAACACAACAAGATGTTGTTGTTACAGATGTTATCTGTTCGTATTATGAGTAAAAAATAGTGGTTTGGTGGAATAAAATGTATTTCCTTGGTGCAAATAGAAAGATACTTACGTTTTCCTGTTCGGTTGTCAGTGAAGCGGCCATATTGCGATAAACACAGACGTACTCACCAACTCATTTCGTCAAACTGAAACAACAAAATCCCGATTTCCATGAAGAAGGACGTGTGGATAACAAATTGAACTGTGGCAACGCTGTAAAAACGTCAGAATGACAGATGACTAATTTTGGTTGGTACGCCTTATCATGTTGGCAGCATTGGAGTCAGCTGACGTAAAACGGAAGAGAAGAACAATTTCACAACAAACAGAAAATGTCGGACAGAGATGTAGTAAGTGATACGCAAAAAGACTTGATTACCCATATTAAGTGATTTTTTAAATATATTGTAAATATTTTGATATTAGTTTTCTACTTTGTGATATAAAAAATGGGTGAAGCACAAGATGGGCTGACGAGAACGGTGGAACATTCGATTCCGATTGATATTTTGAATGACCTTTTAACGTAAGTATGGTTCTCGACACTTCTACAATAAAAAACTAATCTGTACTGATTTTTTGTATACAGAAGGTTCATAATATATGTGCCAGAATCTGCCAAGCAGAACTTGATAAGAATATGTTTCCAAATAGAACTCGCCCATTGGTTCTACCTAGATTTTTATGTTGGAAACGACAGTCGTTTGAAAGCCTGCAGTATTTATGAGTTTGCAGCTCATGTATTCCAGGTAAGCATTACTTACTAGCACAAAAGATTTGTAAATATTGAGGACCAAGGTACATTGGGTTCAAGAGGCTGCAGTGAGATTGAGACTGATTTTATGGCTCCCGGAAAGGAAAAACACGCATTATACTTATGCTTGGGGCTAGTGACATTTTTTATTACCTCTAGATATAAACAACCTTAAGTTGGCTGCAAGACTTTTGTCTAATGATAACCATGTCACATGGTGATTGAAGATTCTTGGTGTGCATGCTGCATATTATAATAGGAGTCCTCTGCTCATTGTGGCATTGCAAGGCTGTAGAAAGTAGTTTATATTCTGGTAAAGGTAAACATCAGGATTTATCATGAAAGTGGCAAGTTTTAAAATATTCTGTTTCAACTTTTGTCTATTAGTATATTGTTTTATCTTTGTATAAAAAGCAAAAATTACAATAAAACTTGTCTCAGGAATGCAGGTTTCACTTTTATCATTTGTATTCTTATGTTTTATGTAAATTTTGTTTGTAAATGTTACATTTCTTGTATTTCAAAAAACTTAAATCACAATTCAAAGTGAAACCTGTGAGGTGCGTTGGCGGTACTCAGCCCTACTCGCATGCTCTATGCCTCCAACCTGTGTAGCACATTCTTTTCATTTGTATGACATTTTCATCTTTAAGGTGCATTAAACTTCTAAACAGACAACCTAGTCTACTTCATAAAAGATTTGCTGAAATTACTTTTGAAAATACATGTGGCACACAAGGCTCTTATTAGTAGAGATGCTAGAGGGGAATGTGTTAACTTTACAGGGTGAATAGATCTTGAGCCTTGCATGTAAAGAGGTGCAGAAGGCACTGTCAAATGGCCTATTAAACTACTGCCAGAATATCCATTCTGAAGTTCTCTTTTCTGATAGTAGCATTGATTATATATGCTCCAAATTTATATACTTGATTATCAAGTACTACTAATTTATAAAACTATTATGGGTCATAAGCGTTTTATTATGCATTGCCTGAAGTCCCTACAGATCTAAGCAACCAGTGTCACAGTTGTGATAGGGTACATCTAGCCTATATACCAGGAGGAACTATGGCAATGATGTTTGTTCAGTAAAAAGAACCTGGAACTTGATGCCTGCTATACCAACCAGGGTGGCCATCTTGGGGGATTTTCACTTGGGCAATTTTTTGGGGATATGTTCTGATACCTATAGATTCAAGCGACTGGATCTCATACTATAACCTGAGACACCCTGTGCACAATAGCTGATACTTGATCTGATCTCTGCACCCTCTGTCAGATGTTAAATTTTGGGGTCATTTTTTGCTCATTTTACCCATTCTCCTGGTATGTAGGGCATGAGCATGGTATATATTCTCAATATCAATCTCCTTGATATATTTTCAGGATTGAAGAAAATAAAAGCAAATCTTGCTCATCGTTATTCAAATGAATGTCAAAGCATTTATTCTGGTTTTCAAAATGCTTTTATAAATCCCTACTATACATCAGCTAAGATTGTAATAGGATGAAATTATTTAGATTTGACAATTTTTTCTTATTATTACAGCATGTACCTTGCTTAAAGAGTGAAAGTCACAAACTGAACCAGATACTCCAGGAATGGAAAGATTACAAGCAGAGTGTTCCTACTTATGGGGCAATAATTTTATCTGAAAACATGTCCCATGTACTGCTTGTACAAAGTTACTGGGCAAAATCATCTTGGGGATTTCCTAAGGGCAAGGTATTTTATTTGTTCTTTCGCATAGATAAGTAGCACTAAAGAGATAATGTGTGCATCTAACAACTGTACAGCATTAGATCAGATTTACAAAAAGTGCTGCAAAAAGGCACCTGAAGCATATTTTGTCAAGACCAGTAACACACAACCTTTTTTGTATATGGTCAACCATGAGTTGTCATTAACATAATATTAAAGCATCTATGATTGAAAAGCATTCTATTCAACAAAATATGTACATTAAAAAATACCACACAGAAGGTCTGTGACTGTCACACTTTCACTGAAATGTTCAAATTTGAAAAAGTATGTTGAGCAATAAGGGGAATGTTGTATTATGCTTTTATTGCTTTGTCTTACTATCTCAAATTAGAATATGAGTATGCCAAAGTGACAGTGAGAGATATTCTCTAAAAGCATCATGTCACTAACCTTGGATGTTCACATGGAACAGCACCATTTTGGTTGTCTCTTTAGTGTACTTATAAGCATAGATTCTTCCAAACATATTGCATGATAGTTATTTATATTCCTAATTATTATTAGGTTAATGAAGAAGAAGATCCAGCACATTGTGCAGTAAGGGAGGTTTTAGAAGAGACAGGTTTTGATATCAGTGGGCATTTAGATCCAGATGATTTCCTAGAGGCTACCATAAATGATCAACTTGTAAGGTAAATTAAGAAAAAAAAAACTGTGCAGCTTTAAAAACCTCTCTGCTTCATTGCTCTTCAATTGGCCACTAACTGTCACTACACATTCATAAATCAAACATTGATAATATATTTGTAACTCCTTTGAAATATTTGACGAGTAATATTCCATACTCTGATCATTGAATCGAGTAGAGGTGGTAATAAATACTGATCTCCAAGTGACAAGACTCGGCCTATCTCTGAGCCTCCAGTAACACCCCACCAGTGTTGTCATTTGCATACTCTATGATACTCCAGCTGTGTAATACTCCTAGTAATATGTTGTATATGCCAATTTGCAATGAACTAAACCATATTTCACGAATATACATGTTTTGACGGTTGCTGAGATGAACAGCTGATCAGCTAGTGGCATATTTGGATTAGTTTGTAAGGTTTGCAATAATGGATCGGGTGTAAATCCAGTAAATCTTGCTTGTAGCGTTTTTCTCTTATGAATGCAAATTAACTTTTCTAATTAAAAGAGATGTTAGCACAAAATTAATCTGTAGTTTACAAAAAACCAAAACAAAATATGGTTCTGTCTTAACTGGCGTTGACGGATCCCCCAGAATTTTGTGTCATTTGACGATATGGGGAATTTTGAAATATTACTAAATAATCAGCTGTCATTCTACCGTAATGGATACTCGTGAAAAAGACAATATGTGATTGACTCATTTTGCAGGTTATACATAGTCAGGAACGTCCCCATGACAACCAAATTCAATCCTAAAACGCGCTGTGAAATAAAGTCATGCTCTTGGTTTGCGGTAGCGGATTTGCCGAATAACAAGAAAGATTCAACACCAAAAACAAAAATAGGCGTAGGCGCGAATTCTTTTTTCATGGTTATGCCATTTGTGAAGAGGTTGAAGCAAATCTGTAATGGCACTGTAAGCAGAAGAGGAAGGCATAAGTCTGCCAGCTTTTGTGAAGGAGAAGTACCAGTCTCAGCAATCAGACAAAAGTGAGTTACTTGATATCAAACAGTAAAAAATCAAGTGACAGTTCTTACTAAAAGACAAAGGGGGATCTAAGATTGTGAACAGGACGTACTGTGCCCTGCGTAAAGGGCCCTAAAGACGTGTTTTTTGCCTTGTAGATGTTATAATATAACATCCAAAAACCATAATAGCTCATAGAATTTTTCCCCGTCAGTGGCTTGGGAAGTAAAAAGCAGCACAGCAATATGTCGGAAACGAAGTTAAGTTGGATTGCTTTTTGTAAGAACAGTCACTCAGGCAACATAGTCGAAGGTTTGAGATTACTAATTGGAAAAATTCTTTAAAAGCGAAATTTAAACATTTTGTCTTAGTTACAGAATTAAGAGGTTGACGTGAGAATATACTCATATTATATATTGTGTACTTTGTTACTCCCATAAAAGTTGTTACTACATTTTCCATCTGTGTATGTTGACAGTAAATAATATGTTTCAGGGCCAAACCACCCACTCAAAAAGCAGAATCAGAAGATATACGGCATATAAAAAAACGGCAACCTCAAGACAAGAAGTGCCACTCCAAAAGACAACTATTTTCTGAGGATAAACGTATCGACGCTCAATTTTGCGCACCTTCCTGGTTGAATTTCAAATTTGACAAGATCGCCATCATGGAGTGTATGCCTTGAACGAAAAAGGCATAAATGAAAAAATATCAGGAATTTTTACTTTTTTTCAATTACCCAAAACTATGTTTTTGGTTCGAAATGAAATTATTTACGGCCTAAAATGTATTCTCGAATTATTTTGGGTTTTTTTGTGAATTCTAAATTCCAAATATTTAGTTTTTGTTTTTATAGAATGATGATTTTTGTGATTATTTGGAGCTTTATTGACAAATCGAACAAGTATATTTCTTTTGTTTACAAGTGTTTTTGTTTTCAAACACAAAATATTTTTTACCTGGAAAGTTATCTGTTTGATTTTCTTTGACTCATTTTGTTTATTCATTTCTTTAATGCAGCAACTAACAATTTCCGGGTCAGATTTAAATCGTAACAAAACACCATTTTTTATAAAGAAGAGACATTTTCCAATGTTGGTATTTTCATATTTTTTGTTTCAGTCCTCGCTACATTTTCGCAAATCCAAAACTTGCTGTATACTGTTTGTAGTTTTGACTAAGCTACTGCTATTTATAGTTTTTACAATTTTACTAGAACTATTTGTAGTATTGATCTACATTCATAGCTTCATTCATTCTGTATTTGCTATTGTTATCTTGTGCAGTTTAGTCCAAAGATGTTATAATATACATAACTGTTACATTAACATGCATGCGTCTCTCAAAAAGCAGAAGCCATATTATTTTTTTCACATTTGGCTTTTCAAATATTGCGACGTTGTCCAGCAACTCGGCAGAACTTGAACCTGTATTGCTGCAAATCATATGGCGTTGAAATAACGCGTGACATTTCGTTGCCTTATTGTCAAAAGACAATTCTTGTCCTTACCATTAGATTCACCTTGCTCCATTTTCTCGAAAAATTTTATTTCAACCCTAATCCTTGATTTAAGGAATGCAATTGGAACATCAGAATCTTATTCTGTAGTTTTCATGTCGATAATCCCTGGTATTGAAACCACGTGTTGAAAAAGTCTCTTGAACACCAAATGAAAGGTAGTGAATCTAGTCATGGTGATTCCCTATTTCATATAGATAACAATAACGTTCTTTGACACTAAACCCTCGAAGAAGGCAAGAAAAAGTTTAAAGTCCTGAATTTGGAATATAGCAAGAGGCCGAACTGACACCATTAATTTATGCAAAGGATTTATGCTCCCAAACATGACATAACCATACTGATAGAATTCTGCAACAAGCTTATTACATTTTTGGGGTTGCTTATGACGAATGTAGGTTGGTTTGTCCTCCTGAGGTTAAAGGTAAAAGTTAAAAGACATATGCTGAGGCAGTGACACTTAAATATGTTTCTGTGATCACACGACTTCGCTCCATGAAAATATTTGAGCTGACCCTGTTTTAATAATCTAAAACTTTCTAGTCCTAAAACACAGTTAAGCTTCTATTTTTTTTTTTTAATAATTTGACCTTCAAATGCCTTGCGATGCCAAATCCTGGAATCAGCAGCTCCAAAAACAAGATCCAGTCTGAGGCATCCATAAAATTAAGGTTACTTATTTTATTATATTACATATTGTTTCGATCAGACTATAGATTATTGTCAAAGTGGAATTTAATCCTGATTTTGTCAGTGTGTATTCTCAACATATCTTGTGTTTCTGGTTATTATTATTGTTGTTTTGGATGAGTATTTTTGGTTTAGTTGCATTGGACAAGCAATGAGATTTTGGAAATAAGATTGTGCAATATGTATACACTAGCAGTGCCCCAGCTTCAATGATCGACGTCCGACGTATTTTAGAGATTGGGGAAACATCTGAGAACAATTTGTGACCCTTTTTTTGCCATATGTCTTGAAAGTCGGTTCATATTCCGTCGAACGCTTCACCAAGAAGCCTTACAAAAATTACTGGTCATTAAGAAGTTTAAAATGGATCAACGGAAAAGTGAAACAGTATTACTACTGGACATTTATATATATATTTATTTTTTTGACTGCATCTACTTCAATATTATACGTTTAAATGACAGGTGGTCGATAGCAAGACAAAAATATGCTGATTATTTCCTTAGAAAATATATGACTGACTATTTGTACCATTGTAAAGCCGCGTACAAATCGAGATTTCAACGCAAGCCAAGGCGCATGTGGTTACAGATTTGGAGGCGTTCGAATCGGTGTGTACGGCGCGAGACAACGTAAGCCGACGGTTTCAAAGGTCGGCGTTGGCGTTCGATTGTACTCGCTCCCTGATCGGTGCATCAAAGGAAGGTTTGATTTGGTCTGGACAGGATTTGTTGCGCTTCTAGTATTTAGTCGTTAGTTTGCATTCGATGAGGAGACTCGTCGCTCGACATTAGCACCGAACTTGACCCAACGCTGTCCAACTCGAAACTAAATCTAGGTGCATTCAAATACCTTCCAACAACAAACGCCAACGTCACATTTGCTTGCATTCGTTTGCTCGGCGTTGGATTTTCGGTCTGTACGTGGCTTAAGAATTCTTGGAGATATGATCACTTGGAATTTATGAGAAGCTTCATTTTATTTCTTAGCACATATCTCAACCTTGCTTTACTACTACATAGTATTTGTTTTTATTATTGGATGGATATTAAAAAAATGCATGCTCAAGAATTGTAAATTGTGATTTTCTGGTAATTTGTTGGCTATAACATTTGAAGAAATGTGTAGGTTACTCCGAAAATCAACATTTATTGAAAATAGAAATGTGTGCAATTATGGAAATCAATATAAACCCTGACACAAGCGCAGATCCAGGGGGGTCCTGGGCGAATCTAGTTTGACTACGATTTGTGACTTTGAAAATATATAATGGATAAAAACTTACCAGATTTGGTAAAAAATTGCCACACCTGGAACCCTGATCACTTTGTATCCGCATCAAAATCTGGTTGCCTATACGTTCAACTTGATGCAAATATTAGTAACTTATTGAAAAAATCCAGCCCCATGAGTTCTGTGATTAAAGTAGTTCATTGAAAATTCAGACATTCGGATAGGAATGTACAAAAAACCGTTTCGCGCGCGCCCTCAAGGCTGTAAGCAAACTTGATAAAAATAGTATTTGACGGACAAAATCCGAGAGTGGTTTCATTTGAATGTAAGAAGTAGTAAGCATCATAGTTATCTAAAATTGTGTTCAAATCTCGCTCTCTTCAGCTCATAAACATATACAACTTCATATTTTTTACACTTTTTATTTGTAACTTAGCATGATGGTATTGCCTTAGTTTAGTCGTACAGGTATTTCCCAAACAAGAATTCAATGGGTGACTCTGGGTCTATTCTGAAACTATTGTAGGTGTTTGATCCACTAGATTTTCGAAATACCTCTTGATTCCGGAGAAATAAGCACTTAAGGGGACGTGGTTGGAAATAGGGTTTTCTTAAATAATTTCCACATATCGTCGCTTAAATTTTTACTCAGAAAATGGCGTCATCAAGATATGCCAGATTTCAAAACGGGGGAACCAGTGTTTGGAAACTGTTACATAATAAAACCAAAATAAGGTTTCCATAACTGTACATCTTATTTGCTATTTTATAGCAATAAAATCATTGTATCTCAAAAAGATACAATTATTTTTGTTTGACTTTACTGTATGCCATAATCGAGGTATTGACAACAGATCTTAGATCTAGCAACTAGTAGCAATACAGTACTATAAACGTTTTCCAAATGAGAGATTAAAAAACAAAGAGTAAATAGGCCATCTTATACCGTTTTATGAATGCGACGTCTATTTCAAAAAGGTTCATTTAATGGACTGGATTCGAACTCCATTACAAAATACATTGAACATTCAATCAAACACCTTAAAATGATTTCATTTTTAAAGCCGCTTATTTTTATCCTTTTTCTGTACATTGCCAGTTTCACTGATATGTAATACTATTACAACTATGATATTCAGTAAAATCAAATGAATGTTTATGTTTCTTATAACTCGAGACTTTCCTAAGAGAAAGAAACATGTCAATACTTGGATTGCACAGTCATTGAATGTGCTATTACTCCTGGCACTACTCTCAATATATGCTATAATTGTATCTTTTTATATTATGGATCATCAATACCTACAACCATTTATTAACGTATTCTCTCTGAAGATAGCGAACCTGATGCTACATTCCCGTGTTCAAAAAATAGTGTCTTCCAGAATTTGTCACAGTTGTTTCTCTATTCACTATATATTCATTGAAAAGGTTAATATCGAATAGATATAGATGGGGCTACAGCGCCTATCATAAGATGATAACCTTTTCAAATCATATTTAGTAAATAGAGAAACAGCTTTAATAAATTCTCATAAATGATGCTGCAGTATCTCTTTTTGAATCTGGTATTTTTTTTTGGACGCAGGAATACAGCATTAGATCGGCTATCTTCAGGTAGAATACGTTAATTGATGCTACAACATATATAATTAGTACTGGATACAGGTGGAAAAACTAGTAAGATAGAGAGTATTGGTACATTTCAAATAAAATTACAAGTATTTAATTATATTTATTTTAGAACTTGCAACTTAATTGTCACTTTTAGAGTTGCATTTTATTTCTCTCTCTACCTTACTCATTTTGTTGCATATCCAACTGAAAAATTCTTTTGTAATTTTTTCATCATGAAATAAATAATTTTGCAGCTAATTTGATTTGATTGTTGATTGAATTAGGCACGTGTACCTAAAGTACAATTTCCTCGTTTTGAAATGTTTAACTGACCCAGCCTGGGAAAAATGAGGCAAGTCGTCAAAAAGGTCCAAACTATTCAGTATACCTACAAACTTTACACTTGGTCAAATATATGTATATTAGAAAAAGTCATACCAACAAAGTAAGAATCCATCTTCTATAATTTACAATTTTGTAGATGATGTCACAGACAGTTACAAAAACATGGCAAGGCATCAATAAAATCATGAACATCCTACATTTTTTTAATAAAATATCTGTATTACCTAGGGCAATTGTATCAAAATGCTATAACTAAAAAATAAAAAAAAATAGTATGAATCAGGATTGGAAATAAATCATTTTGAGGTAAATACATTTTCTAAATTATTAAAGTTTTGGTGGTAATTTCTTATATACAGGAAAAACCAAAATTGTCAGAAGGCTTGGGTTCAATGTGTACGAGAGAGAAGAGCGATAAGTGTGTATTAACACATGTTAGAAAGATATAGAAGCCGGCTGAAGAGCGAAAGTCATCACCACATTGACTGGCGACAGTGACGCAGAAGGTCGTGCAATCTGCCGCGTTGCCAACATGTTACACCAGAAAATGTTCGCACAGGCTTCTACAATAGATTAGGTTACTGTCAAACCCAAGAAGAAGGTACGTTCGAACATTTAATATTTTGTTTTTATTTTGATATTTATTTATTTCAATTTTGATGCGGCTTAGTCTTTTATTTTAGAATTATGTGATTTCCACTGGTGGTGATAAAATCAACACATCCTGACTTGTTACATTTTGCGTCAGCGAGCAATACAAATTATCACTGCCTGCCTGTAAGCAGGTTAAAACCATTTCGAAACAGGACGACACTCCCCTACGAGCGCTAGATGTGTACTGACCAAAATCGCTCGACTATGGACACCTTGCCTTGGAATGTACGAAATGCGGTACTGTCAGGGGAACCAATCATTCAATGTTACTGAATTTGTGGCGATCATGAGCTTTCATTTCGACCTAAAATGGATCGCGGTTAGGACCGATCCGTAATCGATCTTAAACAGATTCTTCACAATTCAAAAATGACTATGCTCAAAATAAAACCATCATTTGGTAGAGAAGAACAAACTGACATATTTTCAACATGCATCTTCATTCAAGGAACTGATGTAATATATTGGCAACGCGGCAGGTTGTCGCGTCGGCGTTGCTTGCCACCGTCGCGGTAAGCTTCCATCCGGCTTCTATCTCTTTCTAACTTATGTCTCTACACACACTTCTCTCTCGTACTCATTGAACTCAAGCGGTTAGACAAATTTGGTTTTCCCTTATATTGCTCTCCAAGTTCAAGACTTTCTGGATGCATTCTTTTTGAGCTTCAATAAATTCCTGTACAGTTAGCTTCAATAGATTTCTGCAGTGTTGCAAATGGACAATCTCTCTGTTTTAAATGAATGTTCCATGAATTATTTTCAGCTTCTCAACCATCTAGTGACTTTGCACACAAAGCATTCTATGCAATCTGGTTCATTTTCATTGAATGCATACATGAACCGTTCTTCGGCTAACTATGAAACGATAAAATTAACCTTCAACCATGGGCATGCAGTCTCACAAGCTGTTTGGCCACTTCACCCCACCCCGCTACTGATGTCTTAAAACATTAAATGCATATAGTCAGATACCTCTAATAAAAGTAATACTCATTAAAAATTATAAGAATTTTATTAAATAGACCTAGAAATATAGCAGAAAAGGACACAGTAAGTAAACAAAGAATATCCCGCCACATATTACCTACATAAACAAGTGGAAATACATCTAGAAATACATTGCAAAATAACTTGAAGACTTCCTGGGCAGACTAAAAAATCATACACAAGCAATATGTTTCATATATAAAAATTAATTGTGCCTGCAAAAGTACAAGTTCACCACAAAAGAAACACTGACTACGACTAAACGAGATCTGTATGCTAAGCGATAAGACTGGCAACGCAGCGTTCGATCTGGCAACACTGGAGGGGAAACAGTGGAACATGTGATCCGCCTTCAGTACAAGTTTGAACTCGCTCGACTCATTCGGTTGTCTGTAGCGAGTTTTTTTTGTGAATCAGTTTTTTCTATTGTGATCTAAAAATGAGTTACATCAATTTCGAGCAACGGTGTGCTATCAGGTTTTGCTTCAGACTTGGGCACAGAACAAAAGCCCGCATTTACAGATGACCCACTCGGACTTAGGAAGGCCATAGTGGGTCTTCTGGCAGGACACTGTCGTCTAAATCGATATAGGCTCTTGGGGTCTGGCAGGAGACGCCGCATGCCATTTGAACAGAGAGCATGAGGAAAGCCCAATGCATCTGCTGTCACAGAGAAGGCCTGGCAAGGCTACAATCTCAGATAGAAGGAACCACAGGGTCCAACTGCGGAAAGCTACAAACAAGGTCCTGTGTCAAGGCTATGGGGTCTGATTATCAGTGGTTTAAGGCATTTGCAGAAGGGAGAGAGTCGATTGAACATGAACCACGAAGCAGAAGAACCGATGAAAATATCTACAGATCCGGGATCTTGTACGTTCAAATCGTCGGTTGACTGTCTGAATTCTCAGATGAGTTAAATTTGACTCACATCAAGATTCAGAACAACTGGGTATTGCATCACGATAATGCTCCTTGTCACACAGCAATGTCAATAAACGAGTTTCTGGCCAGTAAAAACATTCCTGTGGCTCCTTACCCTCGTTATTTGATTGACTTGAGTCTTTGTGACTTTTTTCTCTCCCCGAAGTTGAAAAATCACCTCAAGGGAACTCGTTTTGTGACAGTCGAAAACATTTAAACGGCTGTAACCGACCAGTTGAAGGCTATTCCAGTATCGGAGTTCCAGCACTGCTATGAGGGGTGGAAGAACGGTTTCCAACAGTCTGTGGCTATAGAAGGAAGTTAGAATATAAAATTGTATTTATATTTGAATAAAAAGAAATTAAAAATCAGTTATATCACTTAATTTACAGACCTCGTATGTTTTGTTACGTGTTTAGCTAAGTGTTGCCTGAATGTTGTTTTATATTCGCAATGTGTGCATTTATGAATCTTAAAGGATACAGAACCAGCCAACTCGGAATGCGTCCGTAAAATGTGGTTGTCTAATGACCGTTTAAACGTAAATGATGCATCACACTTTGTACACGTGATCTTAGCTCCAGTATGTTTTATGATATGCCTATCTAAATTCTGAGCATGTGTAGTTTTATATTCGCAATATGTACATTCATGAACCTTAAAGGATACAGAATCAGTAAACTCCGAATGATTCTGCAAAATGTGGTTATCTAGTGTTCGTTTAAACGTGAATGATGCATCACACTTTGTACACGTGAGCTTAGTTCCAGTATGTTTCTTTATATGACTAGCTAAATTCCCAGAGTGTGTGGTTTTAAATTCACAATGCGTACATTTATGTATTTTACAAGACACAGAATCAGCAAACTCAGGATGTTTGTGTAGAACGTGGTTGTCTAATGATTGATTGCTTATAAATGACGCATCACACTTTGTACACGTAAGTTTAGCTCCAGTATGTTTCACCATATGCATCGTTAATTGCTGCTTGTGTAGAGATTTATATTCGCAATCTGTACATTCATATATCTTACGAGACACAGAAGCCGTAAACTCAGGATGTTTCTGTAAAATATGGTTGTCTAACCATTGTTTGCTAGTAAATGACGCATCACACTTTGTACACATATTCTTAGCTCCAGTATGCTTCGTGATATGCCTAGCTAAGTCGTATGCGAATGCAGTTTTATATTCACATTGCGTACATTCGTGTATCTTACGAGACACAGAAGCTGTAAACTCAGGATGTTTCTGTAAAATATGGTTGTCTAACCACTCTTTGCTTGTAAATGACGCATCACACTTTGTACAAGTGAATTTATCCCCAGTATGTTTCATGATATGAACAGCTAAATACCGAGCTCCTGTAGTTCTATATTCACAATGTGTGCATTCATATATCTTACTAGATACAGAATCAGTAATCTCAGGATGCTTCTGTAAAATGTGATTCTCGAATGATACTTTCTTTATAAATGACGCATCACACCTTGTACACGTGGGCTTAGCTCCAGTATGCTTCGCGATATGCTTAGCTAAGGAGTATGCGAATGTAGTTTTATATTCACATTGTGTACATTCCTGTATTTTATGGGACACAGAAGCGGTAAACTTGGCATGTTTCTCCAAAATGTGGTCATCTAAACGTACCTTACTTTTAAATGACGCATAACAGTTTGTACACTCAAAAGGATTTTGAGTATTATGTTTTGCCATGTGCCTTATGAAAGTACTCCTATCAGTTGTTTTGAATGAACAATACATACATTCATATATCTCACTAGAAACAATGCCGTTAAAGATGGGATGTTTCTTTAGAGTATGGTCATAGAGCAATACCTTTGTTTTAAATGAAATACTACAGCATTTGCATATGTGTGTGTCAGATGGTTTAGTGTGTTTTGACAGATGTCCGGTTAAATGACTTTTATGGACGGTTTTGAAATCACAGAACATACATTCATGTATTGTAGATGATTTTGATGCAATACATTCGGCATGGTTTCTAGCCATATGACTATATAGTGACGCTTTGAGTTTGAACACCTCTTTACAGTTGACACAAACATATTCATTCCGTGTGGACAGCTTCCTGGAAACAAATGGTGATTTTTTCAAATTTGATCCTAAATGACAATTGTTCTTGATATGGAGAATTAATCCATTTTTAGAATGATTGGTATAGTTACAAATACAGCTAAATAACTTTTTTTCTTCGATCTGTGAATATGTCTGTTCGCGTTTCCACATATTCTTTCTTTGTGCACTGAAAAAAGAGATTAATAGTTTTATTCTATGTTAATGATCTTCACTGATAATGCATCAATAATATATGAAGGAATATCAAATTCCCATTGTTATTATAAAAGTTAAATTGTTGCGCATATTCATTGTAGAATCTTCTTAATACTTTGAATGTCTATTACTCTTTAAATATGGCATTCTTGGAAGTCAAATGGAATGAACAATCGCCTAGACCCATGTTTGGTCTACAATATTCCTATCGATAACCTAAAGAAACACTGCACATTGTCCTAGACTATTTCTAATTCTAAGCAAAAGGCACAAAAAAGTTCGGCCCTACCATTGGGATCTCGGAAACTGTAAGAGATATGAAGTCGCTTAAAAGCGGGCAAAGTTGCGTATTTAGGTAATGAACAAATTCCGCTTAGAAATTCCGGAGCGAGACGTAAAAAACAAAATTTTCCGAAAATCGTTTCATTTCTTCATAACTTTATTTGTAGTGGGATTTCAAAATAAATTACACATTAACATCACTATTTCTTCGCTACAAGATGCGAATTATCGCTCATTCCGTCTATATGTTTTGTGCGCTGCAGTACGCACAGGTTAGTCAGCCGGACCGCCATGCCGGGCGGTGAGCTTAGATAGCAGGAGTACGAGGATCGAAAACATTACCAGGGTTGAGAGTGTATGAATATACTAACATCAAACATTTTTCATATATCATTCCCCACGCCTTACATCAAACATTTTTCATATATCATTCCCCACCGCTTACAACCCCAAACTCCGACTTGCAACCGTTACAAAAAAAATCTGATAATGATAAGGAGCCTCTGAAACGTCAAAAAACAAAGTTTGTGCGATTTTTATTTTTTACGTGTTTTGCCCATATCTCTGCCACTAGATCGATTTTCACAGCGTCATTCAAAAGTTACTTATGAAAACCGTGCTTTAGGGGGCTGAATCTCCATAAGCGGGCTCCTTAGGACATTTTATATAGGAACTTGACTATCTTTATATTCAATATGTATACCAGAAATTGACATTATTCTGGGACATCCCAATGAGATTCAGGATTAAAGGAGACTCACCTATTAGTCGCCGAATCATGTCCCTCATTTTGGTCACTCTCAACTTTGATGTCAAATTCTTCATGCAGTCCAAGTGCGTCCGTATTTTCAAAATGTGTGCTGCTCAAAGGTGTTTTCTCTTCCAGTTTTTCAGACTCCTGGAACTCCATTTTCATCTGATGAACAGTATCTACTGTCAGGTGACCTTCAATCTCCAGGTCTAACATTTGTTCATTTTTTATTCTAAAACGGTAATGAAGATGTTTTAATAGGGTGTACAATTTACAGAATGATTCGCAAATGTGCCAATTTAAAATTATATGAAACAGAAAGTATAATCAGACCCCACCTATGCCATGTTAAATCAGATACGTCATATTCATCATATGCAGATTTGATGTCTTTCAGTGTTAACGTGTCTTCGAACTTCATGTCTACAGATACCTCTGTATTTGGTTTTTCGGATTTAACAACTACTAATTCACTCTCTGTTTTGACCTGATTAACCCGATCCCAGTGTTCACGTTTGATGCTGAAACAATATTAACTTCAGACAATGATTAACATATTTCTCCGGAAAATATCCCTAGACTTATATATATGTATATATAGTAATGGACAAAAGTATATAGACAAATTAATATTGTGCTGAATTTCTTTATTCTTTATTAATACACCAACCTGTATACATAATTCGTATAGCATAATACTCACTTATACATAAATAAGTTGATTAGACTCCCTTCAATAAAAAATTAATTGAAAAAACTGGAACTCAAGGACAAAAACATATAGACAAAGCAAAACAATTATAGAAAAAAGAAGGCAGCAGCGGTGGCCGCAGTAGTAGACTCTTCGGTCTCCTGATCAGTCGCCGTGCGCTGTGCGGGTTCGAGACCCGTTCCAGGAGAAATTTTTCTCTTGGCTATGGATGTTGTGATTGTCCGTAGATGGTAGATGGTCTCTGACTGTCGAACGTGGAGGTACCACCCGGCGGAGCCAGAATGTGTGCATGTTGCATGCACACGTGTTCCCTCGCCAGAGTCCGTGTGGCGTTCCCCCTTTCCCCTGTATCCCCCTATAGCCCCACGGTACCCAATGGGTGTTTAGGCCTTAGGCCTTCGTGGTAGTTGGAATATATAAAAAAAAGAAGCAAAGTTCATTGAATTATAGAAAACCAACCATGTTTGTGTTAATATTTTGTAGCATAACCATTATTATCAATCACCGCCTGGCATCGTCTTGGCATAGGTTGTAAAAGTTTCTTGATAAGATTTATCAATATGTCTCCACTTTTGCTCTAAAACGGCAAAAAGTTCATCCTTGTTTGAATAATTTTTATCTAAGTATTCCTATATATTTTCAATGGGGTTTATATCGGGAGACTGTGAAGGCCATTTGAGAACTGGTATTTTTTCATCCAGAAAGAATTTCTTTGCGACATTTGAAGTGTGCTTTGGGTCATTATCTTGCTGGAAGATTGACTTAAGGGCATATTATCTTCCATATAGGGTAACATGACATTCTTTAGTATGTCTGTGTATACAAATTATCCGTAATGCCATCTATTCTATGTAAAGGCCGAAAAGCACCCCCAAACCATAACAGACCCGCCTCCATGTTTGACAGTGGGCAAAGTGTACTTGGGGTTCAATCTGATCCAAACATATTGAACTTGGATTCGTCAATGAAACATACACTTTTCCAGTCACAGATGCTCCAATCAAGATGCAACCATACAAATTGTAATCGGCCCTGACGGTTTTTCCTCGAGATTAGCGGCTTCTTACTCGGGCGACGTGCAAATAACTTTAAATCATTTAATCTTCTACTAATAGTTTTCGTAGAAACACTGACAATTCCTTTCGTCTCGATTTCGGCTTTTATTTGTCTTGGGGTTTTAAACGGACGATATTACTTTTATTAATCTAACTGATGTAGCATTTTGTTTTCTAGGCCGACCACTTCTCTTAGAGGCTTCCAAGATACCTTTTTGTTTCTATTTGTTCAATATTAACCAAACTGCTTTACGCTTCAACTTCAAATTTTTGCCAATGTCGACTTGACGTTGACCATCTTTGTATAACTCAATGATCTTAGTTTTCACATCAAAAGAAATTTCTGGACCACGCGGCATGGTCATAAAATCACTCAACTTATTCCACAATACTTGATGAACACAAACTAATCCTCTTCTGACACGAAACTGTACTAAACTAATGTTGAAAAGAATTTGTCTACATATTTTTGTCCCTCATAAAAAAGTGGTTATATTCAGCCTTGTATTGTGTTCATTGCAGATAATGTAAAAACAAGGAATCTAGTTTTTCTACTAATAACGCATTTATTTATGGAACAATGAAGTATGAATTCGTTTTCTAAAGGTATTTAGGTAAATATTCATATTTGTCTATATACAGCCGTCCCTCATTTTACCCGGCATATTTATACGCGGTTTCGCTTATACCCGTTTGCGCTTTTGACACCAGTGATTTATTTTACGCGGTTGCTCCCCGCCTTTCAGCGGCGCGCGCCTTCTGATGCATCGCGTCACCGCGTGGTTTCAACGTGCAATCGGGCATGACCTGATTAGTCCGGCAGTCTGGCCGGTTCGTCTGCTTGTGCTTGTATACATCTGTGGGAATACGTACAGTCGTACAGTACATTGTCTGCTTTAACGATGAGTGCAGTTACAAATAAAAACAAAAACGCAATAACGCCTAAAAGAAGCAAGAAGGTTTTAACGTTAATCGAAAAAGGTACAATTTTGGATGCTTTGGAGAAGAAAGAGTCTGTGGCATCGATTGCAAGAAAATATAAAATTAATGAGTCGTCTGTGCGTACTATCCGTCAAAATAAAGACAAAATTTGTCATAGTTTACAATCCAGTGCTCCTAAATGTACAAAAGTGGCTGGGTATACGAGAAGTGGCCCTATTGAAAAAATGGAAAAAGCTTTGTCTCTGTGGATCGAAGATCAAAATAAAAAGCGGGCACCTCTTAGTTCAGCTCTCATTAGGGATAAAGCGACACGCCTGTACGAGAATTTCGTAGATGATGAGCCACTGTCATCAAACATATATTCAAAAACATTTTTGGCTAGTAAAGGATGGTTTGAAAGATTTAAAAGTCGTCATAGCCTACATAATCTTAAACTGCAAGGGGAAGCAGCTTCAGCAGATATTAATGCAGCAAGGGAATATCCTGGACAACTTTTAAAAATCATTGAAGAAGAAGGTTTTAAACCTGAGCAGGTTTTTAACGCGGACGAAACTGGCTTGTTTTGGAAAAAGATGCCAAACCGTACATTTTTATCAAAAGAGAAGACCGCACAGGGCTTTAAAGTAGCAAAGGATCGTCTCACACTTTTGCTTTGTTCAAATGCTTCTGGAGATTGTATGATTAAGCCTTTATTAGTGTACAAGTCATTGAATCCCCGTGCTTTAAAAAACAAAGATAAAAATAAATTGCCTGTGTTTTGGCGTGCCAATGGTCATGCAAGGGTAACGGGAGATATTTTCTTAGACTGGTTTGAGAACTGTTTTATACCAGAGGTTAAACGTTATTTGACGTCAAAAAATCTTGAATTTAAGGTGTTATTACTCATAGATAATGCCCCTGGTCACCCAGCCGCCCGTTTACAGGAAATAAATCCCAATGTTCGACTAGAATTTCTTCCACCAAATACCACATCAATCCTACAGCCTCTTGATCAGGGAATCATTGCCATCTACAAAGCTTATTACACGCGACGCACGTTTAAAATGCTGTTAGAAAACTTGGAACGCGACCCTACAAAAACATTAAGCCAATGCTGGAAGGATTACACAATTGCAGATTGCCTACATAATATTAAAGAATCGATTGGTGAACTTAAAAAATCGACATTAAATGGTTGCTGGAAAAACTTATGGCCAGAAATTGTGAAGTCTCATGCGAAGGTGCCTGATAACAGAGTCGAATTCAAAGAAATTGCTGATTTAGGAAAGTCATTACCTGGAGAGGGATTCGACGATATGAATGAGGACGATATAAATCAGCTAGTTGAATCGCATAATGTTGAACTCACTGAAAGAGAACTCATAGAACTGACGGAGAACAATTATGAAGCTCAAGGAAAAGGTGACGATGATGAATTAGTCCCGGCACCAAAGGAGTTGACGTTGAAAACGCTTAATAAATGTTTTACCATGGCACACAATCTCACCGAGCTGTTAATCAGGGAAGATCCTACAATGGAAAGAAGTTTAAAAACTAAACGAGAGGTTTTTGCAGCATTGGCACCATACAAGGAAGTTGAGAAGAATTTACGCAACGAAGCTAAACAGTCAAAAATTACGTCTTATTTTTCTAAAAATTAATATTTTTGTTAAAAAATTAACGTTTAATGTTCTCATACATAATATGTACAAACATACCTATGTATATTATGTATTTAACAAAAGTTTATGTAATAAAATGTTTTTGTTTCGATATATGCGGTTTCTTTTTACGCGGTGTTTTCAAAGAACGTTACCCCCGCGTAAAACGAGGGACGCCTGTACTTTTGTCCATTACTGTATACGTTATATACATTTTGACCACTGCCTTTAGGCGCCAATGTTGCCATCTCTCGGACTGGTCATTCATAATGGCATCAGTGTGAGAGAGATCAGTTTCAAAGAAACAGATGTAATATTCAAAGTAATTAAATATTTACTTTGGCAATGAACATTTTTTATCCAAGATTTTAATGCAACAATAAATGAAGGTCAATAATCCTCTTTCTTATATCCTAGACAAAAACTAATAAGTTTACTTGAACAGACATTCACATTTACATAGATTAATAATAATTATAATAAAGGGATGTTGAGGGCTCCTCTTTTGGGGTTTCTTTAAAAGAAAAAATCCAAATCCAAATATAGTATGGGGTTGGGCACCTTCTTGAATATTATGTTATTCATTGGTGTAGCTATAAGATGTGTTGAGTGATTCCATTTCTTAGCCCGTATCGTCAGTCGTTCCTACAATTGTAGGACGCCTTTATGGCCTCCTTGAATGTCATACTCCTTTCTCTCCTTCAAAAATTGAAGATTGCACCTGTTCTGTGTCAGCGCTCTCCTATTGTGAGGATGTTTTCTTTTTAAATTGTAGGAAATTTCAGGCTGAGAAAACATGATATAAATCAAAAGCCAGCACAATTTGATGCAAATAGATATTTGTGACATAACCTCAAAATAGAGTAGAAAAGTAGAAAACTAGGACAATCAAGGATGCAATAAAGGCGCCCTACAATTGTAGGAACGACTGACGATACGGGTCTTAGTACACTATAATGTATTCAGGGCAGCTGTATAAAAATATCTCATTGTGGCATTACTATAAGTGAAAGTCTCTTGATGTCCTATTATCAACAATTATATTGTTTCGTAATTCTTACTTATGCAACATTGAATATGTTGCACTGGAATTCACGCACCTCTTGATACTTGGTTCCTCTACAGCAACTTTAGCTATTGCATGTTCAGTCTTCATTATTAGTATATCATCAACTTTTGTATCACTCTTCTCCACTCTACATTGATGTATCATTATTTCAAAGAAATCATTATCCTGTTTTACATTTTTAGTTTCCTCAATGTTGATGCTGTAACTAAACAATATTCATAGTGAAATCATGTACAAAAGATGTTTTTTGTGTTGAGCAATGATTCAAGATACCACAACGGCCCGAGTAAAGATAACATGGCCACGCAAGACAACTATTGAAATATACTGTACTAAACTCTAGCAGACTATCCGTAGCAAAATTTTTCTCGAAATCATTGCACACCACTTGGAAAATGCAAATGAAGATTGGAAAACTGTCGCTCTTACCTCTGACCTCTGACCTGACGCACTAAACGACCTCGTCGTTACTCCGGGATAGACATACACTTGTCACGTACATTGCAGCGTTGCCAACTCATCGAACTATTTTGCTAGAATGTTATAAAAAAAGAAGCTTTGGATAAAAAATATTGAGGGCAATGCAATGGAGATATATAAAATTTGGGTTCCCGATTGTGTGTCAGTGGTGCTTAAGTGTTGTCTACAAAGTGGAAATTAGATCTACTTCCATCTCTTCTGAGGGAAACAGGATACATGTGCAGCAAACTAGGTAAGCCTTGCATACTCATCTATTAGTGTGTTAGGGTTGACATCCTATGTTTTTTAAATAAATTGCGCACATTGCATACGCTGAGAGATTAGTCATATACTAAGGTATTTGGGAGAAACTAAAATTTGGCCAAATCGTTTTTGTTTTTGTCTGACTTTATTATAAGAGATGTCAAAATAATGGCACTACATGATGGTGTTTTTAGATGTGCTCGAAGTGCACAACATGTGGAAAAGTACGACCCTGTATCTAATAGCATCTTTTTCTACGACTTCAACGATGTATCACTTTACTTTTGTTTTTTTAAGTTATAGACAAACGTATTTTTTCTATTCTTTCATTTTATTCAACTAGGCGTTGCAAACAAATGCTTGATGTAAGATTGTGTTATTACTGAATTTAACCTAGTCTGATCCTTATCTTGGCCACCCTGTAATACATTATTATAACAAGAAATTCACAGAAACGTGCACTAATCTAACGTTCTTGTAAGTATTCTTATGTACATACATTTATCTCTGAAAAATCCCAAAAATATTGGCAAAGCATCGAACATAATACTATTTTTAGTCCAAGGAATTGGTGATAGTCTATAATTGACAATATCGTTCTTTGACACTAAGTCCTTGGCACTAGGTTTACTAAATATGGTGCAAAAAATCAAGCGTTGTCCAATAAGAGTAGGGATGTAATGCGTCTGCCTGTAATTCCACATGATCGACAAGTTATAAGTTGGACTCAAGTTATTAAGCTGTTCATTTTTAGCTTCCTCAAAATGAATGCCTAATTTCTCTGCGTATAGGACGGATACTAAAAATAGTAGAGTAAAATGAAAACCGTACTCCTCCTATTAGGATCATATAATTTTAGATCAAATAGTTAATAAATATATTTATATAATAAAACATTGTTCATTTCCAAATGTTGGAATGAGTCCCGTATTCAAAAAGTATTTTATCCTATAAAACTGGGCAATTAAAAAATGTTCAGAGTCATTAACGTCCGCCGCATGGATGCCAGGCGACGCAAAATGTAAATAACAGCTTTTGTTTAGTTTTATATATTTCCATTGATATTCCTAAATATTTTATTAAAACTTCTTTTTTTTATAACATTCTATTAAAATAGCAGATGTAGCAAAATCGCCCGATAAGTTGACAACGCCGCAATCCAGGTGACAAGAATGACAAGGTTATCTGTCAAGACGGATGTCTATCCCGAGGTACACATGACGAGTTTTGGATCGTCAAAGCGTCAATTTATCAATTTTCATTTTTTTAAGTGTTGTGCAACGATTTCAGCAAAAATTTCGCTACGGATAGATTTCTAGAGTCTTGCGAGGCCATGTTATCTTTACTAGGACCGATCTTTTATACAGCGACTTCAAATCTGAAAACCTGACGGGTTGTTAAAATTTCAAAAATCACATCCAAAAATAACAATAAACAACAAAACATCACTTTTCTATAAATAATAAAATTTTTATTATTCCTATCTACGTTTGACAACACAAAACGCCGCGCGCTCAACCAATGAACTGTCTTTCAACCACAAAGGGTACAAACTGTCAACTATCAGCGCATACAATATTTAAAAAAGCAGTAGTTATCTCGTGATTGAATGTTTTGTGGTAGTGATCTAGTGATAGAGTCACAAAACATATATACTAAAGTAACTACTTATTGTACACTTCCAATATCAATATTATTATATTTTTTCTCAAATTGACACTAGCTCAACAGCATTGGCGACATCTATTGGAAAAAAATTTAATAGCATAGCTTTTAGGTAGATTTCTCGAATTGAATCTACGTAAACGTAAGTAGAGTTGTGAACTGGTTTTGAAGTACTACTTCACTTCAGAAGTAGAGTCCGAGTGTCTGAGTCACAAAACAAATAAGACTGAAGCCTGAGTAGAGAGAGTATCATTTCTTGTGTTGTGATTTTGATTTGTAATTTTTGACATATTTTGCAACTTTTTAAGTAAACTGTTGCTTTGCGTGGATATGTTATCTTTATTCGGACCAGTAGAAATAGAATTTCAAATATATATAAACTACAATGCGACACTAAAATCGCATTAACTTATCAGGTTTTTCTGTAGTTTGTAAATGTTGAAGCTTTGTACTACCAGTTAGCTGCAAAGAGTATATGCAGAAAGCATATATTTGCAATAAGTATAGCTATCAAAATTCCTGTAGCACCTAGTTCCTACTTTTAACGCCTTCCCTGTGCACAATGAATAATAAGATTATTCTGTTGATTAGTGGCAAACGGAAGTCTGGAAAAGATTATATTTGTGAGAAATTAAAATCATTGTAAGCTTTTGAAATTAACATACCTATTAACATTTATTGATAATGATGATTTTCAGGATAGGTCCCGACAAATGTGATATAATTCGAATATCAGGCCCTTTAAAGGCGATATATGCTGCAGACCATGGACTTCAACTAGAAGAATTGATGAGTGATAGCCCTTACAAAGAAACTTACAGACTGGATATGATAAAGTGGAGTGATGAAATAAGAGCTAAAAATCCAGGATACTTTTGTAAAGCAGCTTGCGATAATGGTATGGGCATTTACATATAACCTGTAGAATTTTTCTTAGGGGGAAAGATGATTTACAATAGACAAGATTTGTGAAAGTGTGCCTGTCCTTAAAGCTGAAGTGGTTTAGGGAAGGGTAGACAATATCCTAAAAATTCACAAAATTGTGCATATAATGCTAAATATGTGAATTTTAAGGTCCACCAGCCCCTTGCAGATGCTCATGCGTTTACATTTTCTAGGTCCAGACATATTTTTGAAAAACTAGCAAAACAATTTTTAAGACTTCCAGCATTCAATTGAAATGGCAATGGCAGGAAGAATTTTATATCAATGTGGTTTATTAATTTGCAACTCATAGTTGAGGCTTTGCTATGTTTTTAGATCCTATTACATTTTCAGCATTCAAAAAGATAGTCTGGATAGTCAGCGATGTTCGAAGAAAATCTGATATCAAGTGGTTCAAAGAAACATATGGAAGTATTGTGAGAACAATAAGAATATCCGCAACTGATGATGTACGAAGGCAGAGAGGCTTAGTGTTCAAAACTGGTGTTGATGATGAGGAATCAGAATGTGGTTTAGATGATTATAAAGAATGGGATCATCAGGTTTCAAATAATAATGAAGATGATTGTCAAATAGCTATAAATACTATAATCAGTATTGTTGAAAAGTTTTAAAGTGTATTTTTGCAGTTTTTATTATAGAGGTCTGTAATATCTCTGTTGGATATAGATGATATTGGAACTGTTGTGATAGAGCAATTTTATTTTATATATTAAATAATATTTTTGAAATACATATAAATGTCTCTTAGTTATTTTTTTGTTAACTTACAACATGAATTTACTATATTTGAAATTGGTCAATCTTTTTCACTCCAAAGAATTATTGTATGCATCAAATCAAAACAATGTAATTATTTTCGAATAGGATGCTCATTTTTGTGTTCAGCTACTGTCTCAGAGACACATTTCAGATTCCTCTGTGGGCGGATATCTTTAAGTAAATCCTATTTCGAGAGTATCAATCACGTTTTAACGCCTACTGAGGTGAATAGCTGATCAATAAGCGACATTTTTGTTTTAGAACAGCTTTAAACAATCAGCTATGAAACTCTCCTGTCAGTGTCAAAGATGACCGCCATTTCGGCGGAGAAAGCCGAATGTAAATTCCCCCAGTACAAGGATGAAACAGTTTTAGTGCTCAGCTGCTCAGCAGCAGCCGGTGTTGCCTCGTGGCATGCCAGCGGCCGCAGATATTCTTTGCACTCTTAAAATGATAATATTTCGATGATTTCGTCTGCTGCTGAGCACTAAAAAGTCTTCCATATTTGCACTGGAAGAATTTACATTCGACTTTCTGCGCCGAAATGGTGGTCTTTTTGACACTGACAGGAGAGTTTCATAGACGATTGTTATTTAAGCTGTGGTATTAGTCTGTAACGTTGACAATCATGAATTGGGTGCAAAACTAGTAAAACTAGCTTGTAGCGTTTTTTTATGCAAATTTGAAAATGATCTTTTCCAAATAAAAGAGGTCTTAGCAAGTACAAAATGAATCTATAGGGTACAAAAAACCAAAACAATCTACGGCTCTGTCTAGTGTCTACCTCCTTGACGAACTGTTAGATTTATTTCATTTAACGATATGGGGAATTTTGAAATATTACTAAATAATCAGCTATACATATACAGCATACAATACGTCAATCAATGCTTTTGGCTTATGGAGTCAAAATGTACGCAGAGTGGAAAAACCCACCAATATATGAGTAACTTACAGTCCAGTTCTGTAAGCCGATTTTTTTGTTTCTTGAGGTTTGACGTTTTCAGATTTGTATTTTTGCGTTCTTGTCACTGTCACTTTATTCTTTATGTTTACGTCGGATTTTAGATCATCTAAAATATTATATACTATTTTAATGAATAATAATTAAATAGATCCTCAAAAATAACAAAAAAAACTAGCGCGTAGATATTGCAGCTTGTAGTGAAATTAGTGTCACTGTGTTTTCCTTCATCAATCTACGGTCACACCTAGCAGCTCACAGAGGGACATACACTTTTTTTGAGGTTAGTTATTTACATTTATTCTACTTTATTATTCTTTTAACAGTGTTAACTGGTGCTTACAGTCTGTTTATATGTTTTTATTTAAGTAGAAATGTGAGTTCAACATTCGTATAATTGCTTTTGGAATGCATCATTTTCACTGTGAAGTATGATTCTAAAAATAAACTTTGCAGTTTGCAATGTATCTGTGTCTCCCTATTTGGTTGTGTATACTGCAGTTATGAGGTAAATTTATACGTTATCTGATGATAAACCATGGAATTACAGACTTTATAACGTTTTCTGAACGTTTTTCTTACAGAGATTGTAGCCATAGTACCCCCTAGTGTCTACAGCTTCCATCAAAAAAGATATAAATATGATGATATATATCAGGGATAATTGTTGCTCAAATTTAGCACCTAATTTATATGTTCTCATTCATGACTGTTGTTTTCATCTATCACATGATAGTATCCATTATTTTGTAGGTTTTTCTTCAGCAGGTTAAAACATAACATCATAATAATGCACACAATCCAATATTACTGAACCATGGCAAGAAACAAGAACATCAAATACAACCTTTGTTCATGGTAGCATACTCATGGGACAATGGGTTCCATTGAATGATCAGATAATTTTAATTACTGATTTTATTTTGATTTGTTATTTTCTCATTGATCAGTTAGATATTACCAATAAGTAACTATGATATATTTTCCAGGCATTTTAAAAATATGCATTAATTTTGATAACTAATAAAAAAAATCAGGATATTTCTAAATATCTAATATCTAAATTGAACATTCTCAATGGACCTTCATTCTTTCGGTATCAGTATGCTCTAAAAATTGTAAAAAGTATTTTAAAGTAAAGAAAAGATCTAAGTGTACCAAGTTTTTGATATGTGATCTATCCAAATGAATTGCAGACCTGATGTCAGCTAGCCATTTTCTACCTTAAGTTTGCCTTATGACATGACACCTTTTCTCTTCTTCAAGTTACCTAAGTGTGCCAAGCTTGTAGCAACAAGGGATGACAGTAAGAATTTTGCCCTACAAAGTAATATATCAGGTTTTAACATCTCCCCAGAAAAACTTGTTAAAAAACTCTGCATATTTGTGAGCTGGATAAAAACTTGTTTTCTGGCTAAACCAGTTGCTTAAATTGTGAATCTGATACCAATTTGTTGATGAGAGCCACAGGGTTACCAAGTGACCCATTTTTTTTCTTCAAAATTGGCCCCACATTTCACAGTTTTTTATGGTTCTTTTCCAATTCAGAGCTCCAAATTGCCTGAGCATACCAAGTTTCCTTCATTTCTTGTAATGGGAAAAGTAAATGAAAATGTTGCTCTACAAAGTCCTATAAATAATTTGAGATTTTCTATGAATAAAATTAATAACCATTGCATATCTGGTATCTGAATATATTGTCATCCCTTGTGTTTCGGTGTGCAAATTATGATTCCAACCTTATATGGAGGTCTCAAGCAATCTGTTTTCAACCTCAAATTTGGCCCCCAAATTTCATGATTTTTTGGTGGAAAATAACTCCTGGTCAAATTGGCTGAAATTTTAGTATGATCCAATCTGATCAAAGGTCTCCATTGTACCATGGCCTTAAAATTAACAGTTTTTTCTTTTACCATCAGAAACTTATGCTAAACTTTTAATCAAAATCTCATAGGCAATATCTTACCAAAATATCAGCCAATTTGTCACTTTTTACCCCAGTATTCATACCAAATACCAAACAAATTAAACATCCATATATGCATCAAAAACTTATAATTTACTGAATGTAGGTACTCTAAGATTCATTGTATATTGTAGTATTCTGTTGTGGACTTCAATAGAGGAAAGTAGTTTTTCTCGCAGATATTTAGGCTCATCAGTATTGAGCAGCTTGTGGAGAAAAAGTACAAAATGATAAATCATCAAAGTTTCGAGCTCTGACCACCCAAGCATGCTGAATGCAGGACTCGCACGGTCATATCTTCTTAAACCAACTGTAGAACTTACCCAGTTATTTTGTGCTACTTGCAAACGCTTTTTAGTGAGTTGGTCCGAGAATGAAGATAAACAAGGACTTACAACAGCTTTTTTTTAATGTCAATTGCAATATACCTTCGTTTGCATATAGAATGCGCAGTTTTAGATCAGATTTTAGCAATATGTTAGTAACATGACACTTAAACCGTAAATTAGTGTCCAGAAGTATCTTGGACTCATTACTAAATTTTGAGGATTCTGAACCAGTTTTGACATGAAATAGATGAACAATGCGATCATGTTTAGAACTAGAACAAAATAATATAATTTTCGGTTTAGAACTATTGCCAAAGGCAAAAAACTCCAATTTAGCCAGAAGCAGCTGATGATTCAATTTGTCAAACACCTTAGAATAATTGAAAAAAAAATCAAAACCCCTGTGTATCTGTAATATGGACAAATACTCATTTCATTGGTAAGTCGGGTGCTTAGAATTTGAATAAAATGTCAATTTAATGCCAGGACCTGTGATGGGTCCCAAATTAAAACATACAAATTTGTAATTGCCACTTTTTCTCACAAATTTAGGCATTCAATCTCAGTTTAGATTAAAATAATGTTAAATGATATTTCGTGGTTATGGTCTCTCAGACTATATCTTCTACGTTGTAGGAGTGCAACCGCGTCAAAAATCAACTCGCGCTACGCAAAATCATCTCCAGGATCGGGATGCATATAATGATACGCGGATCAGCTGCTCAGGAGGAAGATCCACCACTTGGCATGTATCTATATTTGTGAATTTTATTTTTACAGTTGTCAGTGTGGTCGACAACGGGTCAGTGTGCTTGCTCGCTTGCTAAATCGCAATCGTTGTCGTTCGTCGTGTAGTTCTAGCGGTGGATATGTTTTTCAGCATTTTCACTTCATTCTGACCATATATTACGACTCTCTCCTGTATTGCTTTTATGGAAAAAAGTCGCATTCGCCGTACGAGATTTGCACACGGCGAGACGCGAAAATAGTTTCCTCCTTGATTAACGGGAACATCGATTGTATCGTAGTGATTTATTTTGATTTTTGTTTTTACTTGTCGGAGTTTTATTAGTTCCGTTTGTGGTGTGTTATCTGTTATTTGTGCAGCGGCTTGCAGAATAGAATTTTAGGTGGGTAGCATTGATATATGTACAATTCTTATTTTTTAAGGAAATCTGTAGGCTAGAGGTGTAGGTACATTATCTCAAGGATGTAATCGTAAGAGGAAGTGCCAGAAACTTTATTAATAAAATCGTACACCTTCGAGGAATATATCGTGCATGAAATAAACAAGGCAATTACGAATATGCAACTCTTTCCATCAAGTCCGAAAAAAATCTGTTGCGTCCCAATTTTATACAAAGTATTCGGTTTTGTCTAGTTATCACTGCTTTGAATGCAATATTTGTTCATTAAACTTTAAAATCTGATATACTCAGATAAATATTGCCTACATAGAGTTGAGCGTTGCATATTATGCAAAGGCAGCTCAAGTTTTCTGTTGCATATTCAGTCTTTCTCATTTATGGTAATATTGACACAATTTTGTCGTGGTATTGCTCTTTGTAATACATTATCGCTTTGCACTTGTTCTATTTTTTAACTTTTACAATTTACAATATAATGACCTAACCTACATAAATATGACGACACAATTTCAACTTAATCAAACTTCAAAGTAAAAAAGAACCTCTGAAACTTATCCTGTGGTTTTCGTGTCAATAATCCTCCATGTTTCTCTGGCCACTGAAACCACGTGTATTTAAAATTCTTCTTTAATGTTTCAGTCACTACGGTGACCATCTTCAGTATAAGACTCTTTTTGATGATATTTTATTTATCTGTCTTCCAGGTGACACTTTTAAGAAGTGTAAATGAAAAGAAAAAAAGTGTCACCTGAAAGACATAAATAAAATATTGTCAAAAAAGTGTTGTACCAAAGAAGGTGACTGAAACGTATACATTAAAGAAGAATTTTAAATACATGTAGTTTTATTGGCCAAACATGGCAGATGAAAACTTCGTAGATTTCGCAAATCGTTCCGGTGGGGACAAAACAAACAAAAAAGGGCATCCTATAACAGGATGATTATTCATGTTGTAAAACTGCGTACTCACACAATACTTATATCTGTAATAAATAAAGTCAAATTTAATGTCTCTTCCAGAATGTCTTGAAGCTATATTTTGTTCTTTAACTGAAATAGACTTTTTCCTATATTTCATAGATTCGAAGTAATTTTAACAAGAAAATTTTGTTTCAGAAGTTTCAACGATAAACAACAAGGTAAGTCATAGCTTCTGTCTATTTTGATTTTCTTGTTTTATGGATAACTGCAACAATAGTTTAATGTAAAACAATGATAGACCTGCATTCAGTATCCGTCGCTTTTATGAGAGCCGACTAAGCATTTTCGCAGGTTTTCACGAAGAATCACGATCATGTCGTGGCTTGTTATAAATTATCGCCAAGTAGGGGTTCATCAAGTTATTTTCATAAACTACTCACTACTTGAAACGTTAATGGTTGACTCTATAGTCAAAATCACGAAAGATGACTATTACGTCATACCATAAATTGTACTGAAGCAATCAATGGACATACGTCGATGATAAAATCATGACGTCAGGAACATAATGACAACAAATTTATATTATATATATACGAGCCCCTTCCCATTTCAGTTGGCCCACTTTAAGATTTGCAGCAAAATATGCCTTTATAAACTAAACATGACGAAACTATTTACTTCTAAAACAATTTATTTTCTCAAAAACATTTTAGATACACTCTAGTCGTAAAAAATACATATTTGAAATCACTTAGACCTATAACTAATAGAACATCTGAACAAATAAACAATGTGCGAATAAATGCGCGAAGTTAACAAAGCAACAATTGAAAGATTACCATTGGGTAACATCACCTTAATTTTTTATTACAGAATTCTTTGGGGCACAGTGTTAACTAAGTTTTTGGAAAAAATTTGGTGTAAAACAATCCCATATTTCTTGAAGCTTTTGTCTCAGTTCGGTGATAGTACGAGCAGGATGTTGTTGTAAAACCTTTTTCATCTCGTGCCACAAAGTTTCAATAGGTGACAGATCTGGACTGCTAGAAACCCATTTCAAAAGTGGTACATTATTTTCTTCCATCCATTTTATAGCCTTTTTTGAGATATGGCACGCTGCACCATCTTGCTGAAACACAAAATCTTGTCCGGATGTCAAACATTCTTCCATCACTGGGTAAAAGCGATTCTTCTAAAATTGCCAAATATTTATTGTATCCACATTTCCATCAATAAAATGAAGTTTTCCTACTCCTTTTGATGAGATACTGCCCCAGACCATAATGGATGCTGGAAATTTCACTTTTCTCTTCAGACAGTCAACATGGAATGCTTAATTTTTTTTGCGAATAACTCTACTGCGACTGTCACCAACACAAACTTCGAATCGGGCCTCATCACTCCATTGTATTGCACACCATTGTTGAGGTGTCCATTGTCTATGTTCTTTAGCCCATCTAAGCCGATCTTTCTTTTGCAGTAGGAGTTAATAGTGGCTTTTCTTTGGCTTATAAACAAGTTGTGCAACTTTAGGGTTTTTACTTCACTTTTTTTATAAGAAAATTTACCTTGCAAGTGCTAAATCCCAGTTTGTGGGCCTCTCTATGAGTTGTGGACCTCGAAATTCTCCTTCCAACAGCGTCACTCCACAGAGCACTTAATTGTAAATAATTGGCACGCCTGTTTTTCACGATTATTCTTATTAATGCTCTTCGGTCGGCATTTGTGATATTACTTTTTTTTTCACATATCGTGGCTTAATATCAACTGAACCAGTTACGTTTTATCTTCTAACAATATTTCTCACACTGTACCGCGATAAGTCTAACAAAGTTGCAATTTCTGAGTTTGACTTCCCAGAATTAAAAAAATTAATTATCAGTAACCGAATTTTCTCACTAATAACCTTTCCTCTACCCATTTTGAAAACCTTAACTACCCAAAACTATTCTAAACGTATTCTGACAGCTGTGATTAATGCAAACAATTGTCATAGCTTTTATTTTTCACAGCCACCTATGCGTTATTATTACTTATTTTGCATTGAAATGAAAATAGGTTGATATGCTGTAATTGCAACATGTGTTATTTTTATGCTGCAAATTTGATTAGGGAGTGATAAGGTGGTGTTTTCTACTATATCTTATCAAAATATTCATTGTTAATATTTTAAACCTATAACACCATGCTACATTTTTATTATTTGTGTTTGATAAGAAAAAAACTAAGATTTCAATAGTTGGGCCAACTGAAGTGAGAAGGGACTCGTATATATATATATATATATATTTATATGATTTTGCGAAGTTAGGTTATTTCACTGATTATTTTTATTTTCATTTTGTTTCGTGGTTTTGAGTGATAACAGTTATAAGTAGAATACCTTAAGACAGGAGTTGAGGATTATTCGAAAATAACCTAACCTGCTTTAACATACACAACATCGTCTATCTTTGTCGGATACATGCAAATTAGCAATACATGTACAGTCTGTTTGGACAATAAAATTCTGTTTGCCTCTGTCTAACATATCTGAAACGTCATTAAAAATATTCACAAATCGCACACCGACTACATGAAGAAGGACAAAACGGTCACAAGGCTCTAGCATGGCCAATGCGATGCCAAATTGCAGAAAAAGCGACCCCAATTAGCGAAGAAAAAGGGCTCTTCCACCATGACAACGCACCGGATGACATTCAAATTGGTCGTGCTGCCTCATTCACCGTATTCTTCAGATTTTGGCCCCTGCGACTTCTTTTTGTTTCCAAATTTGAAAAAGACACTCGCCGGGCAGAAATTTGAGTCGAATGAGGAGGTTATCGCCACCTAGGAGGCCTATTTTGCAAACATCCAGAAAACGTATTTTTCAGACGGGTTGAATAAAGCGCTGAGTCCAGTGTATCGAGACTATGTTGAGAAATAAATCGCCACTTATTCAAATTTTTCGTTTTTCTTCTGTATGCTAAGTAATTATCGGACGGCCCTCGTATATACAACAGGACATTCATAGCCTCCAATTTGTCTGCGCCTCAGCGACAAGTTTTGAAGGATTTTTTTTTTGAAATTTGGCACAGACTAGAAGCCACAGCCATAAAGTTTTTGAAGATGTCTGACTTCCTAGACTTCCACCTGATTTTCTATTATTCTAGAGGAAAAATAGGTAATTATCATTGACCAAGGTGTTACGATACACTTCACGGTTCGCATACATCAAATCGCGCAGAATGGAACGGTTGAAATACGTGCTAAAAATACATCTTGGAAATGTTTGAGGCAAGGTTCGATTTTCGATATGGCTAGCTGCTCCGTATACACAATGTTCTTGAAGCGTTGCCAAAAATGCACTCGAATCGACAAAATAAAACATTATAGTGCCGCTGACTGTCTCTATTTTACGAGTTATATGTATACTGTGAAACAAAATTAGTCATTTCCTGGATAGTGAACAAACGGTTGTTTAGTTTGAAACAACTAAGGAAAGTGTGGACTGTCTGAATTCATTTGGACAGCTGTGGTAGACTTTGATGGATGGACTTGAACAATTTGTTGAATGATGCAATGTCGCATCCTAAATTTATTTTGATGTACTGCGCATAGTCCTGCCAGAGAAAGCAGTTGTTTCTCAAAGGTATATTACATATACAATTATACAGGGTGACTTCGAAGTTGAGTCATTTATTTTAACAGTGAGTAGATCTGATCAAAAGAAATGTTTTTTTCCTTTACCAATTTTCTGGTAAAATTAAAGTAACAAAGTTATAGCCCTTTGGAAGTTTGAGTACCGCCCTGTCTCAATAATAATATTATGTGCTCGTGTTTGGCAACAACGGATATAATCCGCCTTATCGGTTCATCGCATCGGAAACAAAAAAGCGAAAGAATTTGGAACGATGTTTTTACAATTATTTTATTCAGTTGTATACAGTCAGTGTCAGTCGGTAACGCGTGAGTGAATAGTGGTGTCTGTTGCGTGGCTCAAACGAAATCAAAAATGGCAAATGTTTACGAAAATGCTGAACTTGTGGACATGATTCTTATTTACGCGGTATCACGGATTTATGCGGATCGGTTTCCCAATCGAGTGCAACCAACCCCTCGTGCCTTTGTTAATGTAGTACAAAGGGCTCGTGAATCAGGTGACTTAAGACCTCACAGGGGACGGCATGCCGGTGCTCCAAGACCGCACGATCAAATACAGGTTCGCACTGAAATACTTGTCGGGAGGATACTTTATTTTTACACACATATTTTGGTTTATCTTCCTTCTACAATCATTATCTGGAAATTAATGACTCAACTTCAAAGTCACCCTGTATATAATTGTATTCAATATGTAATTTTTGTTTAAAGTTTGGAAGAAAATTTTGTTAAAATTGTCAATATTCTAGTGCTAGTTATTTTCAACGATTAAGGGACGTATCGTCAGTCGCTCCTACAATTGTAGGTCGCCTTTATGGCCTTCTTGATTTTTGTAAGTTTTTTCTTCTCTGTGTCGGCGCTCTGTTTTGAGGTTATGTCACAAATATCTATTTGCATCAAATTGTTCATGCTTTTGATTTATATCATGTTTTATCAGCCCGAAAATTTCTACAATTCAAAAAGAAAACATAACTTCACAATAGGAGAGCTCTGACGCTGACACGGAACAGGGGCGATCTAGAAATTTTTGAAGGAGAGAAAAGACTTTGACCATCAAGGAGGCCATAGAAGCGTCCTACAATTGTAAGAACGACTGACGATACGGCCCTAAGTGAAAGAATAGCTTGTAGCTAAACTTCACCTGAATAAAAGTCGTTCATTATTATTAATTATTATGGAGCTACTGAGAACCAGATTTGCCTGACAGCTTGAGTTCAATGTGTACGAGAGAGAAGTATGTATACACACATATGTTAGAAAGAGATAGAAGCTGACTGGAAAGCGAAGCTCATCACCGCGTTGCCTAGCAACGATGAAGCGGCATTCTGCCTTACACCAATTCGTTGAATTAAGTTGAAAATAATATGCGTTAATTTATTCTCTACGGCCAAAAAAGGTTTTAATTTGAGTATACGCATTTTTGAATTGTGAATCGTGTCGAATCAGTTTAGGATGGATTCCGGATTGCCACAAAGTCTGCATCAATGATTCACTTGGCAACACCGCAGCTCTTACATTCCAAGGCAAGATTTCCTCCTCCATGATCATAGATGAGAAATTTTGGTCAGTACCC